GAGAGAGAGAGAGAGAGAGAGAGAGAGAGAGAGAGAGAGAGAGAGAGAGAGAGAGAGAGAGAGAAGTTGAATGGCAAAATTGAAATATAGGTCAAATTGCGGCCGCAATCTTTTTCGCAGTTGGAATGATTTTTTTTCAATTTATGTAGCGTTTTTCCTGGAAAGATCACAACAAAATTTACGAGTACTCCAATTTTCAGGTCTTTTCACGCATTCTTCTGAGCGCGAAAACTCACTGGATTTGGAGTATTTTTTTAGTTGGCCCAGGCATGGCTGAGTGGCAAAAATGGAAAATGTGCTGAATCGGCACGATAATTATTTCGCAGTCTAAATGATTTTTTGTAAATGTTCTATTATTATTTATGGAAAGAACACAACCTCATCTATGGATTCTCAAAATTTCAGATTTTTGTGCATGTTCGTCGGAGCACAGAAAATCGCCAAAGTTGCCTCTTGCAAAACGCCTATTTTGTTGTGCCTGACCTCCCTGTTTTGAGAAGACGGGGCTCAACGCCTGGGCCTGAGGGCCCTTATGCAGATCACATGCCCTCACTTCTTTTTGGGGTCCGCTTCTACCCAAGGACCGGTCCAATGCCCCCACTTCTTTTTGGGGTTCACTTCCACCCGAGGATCGGTCCTTCGTTTTTCCAAAAGTCCCGGTTCTACCAGAGCTAGCTGTAGGTAGTCCGCAATTTTGCCAAGGACCGGTCCCCCAAATTTTTTTGCCCCCGAAAAACCCACTTGCGTCCTGGTCGCCCGCCGCCAAAAATGCGACACCTTGACACATACGTTGAAGCCCACTATACCGAAGCCTAAGGGCTGCCAATTTATGTAGCGTTTTTCTTGGAAAGATCAAAACAAAATCTACGAGTACTCAAATTTTCAGGTTTTTTCACGCATTCTTCTGAGCGCGAAAACTCACTGAATTTGGAGTACTTTTTTAGTTGGCCCAGGCATGGCTGAGTGGCAAAAATGAAAAATGTGCAGAATCGGCGCGATGATTATTTTGCAGTCTAAATGATTTTTTTAAATGTTCTATTATTTTTTCTGTAAAGAACACGACCTCATCTATGGATTCTCAAAATTTGAAATTTTTGTGCATGTTCGTCTGAGCACAGAAAATCGTCAAAGTTGCCTCTTGCAAAACGCTTGTTTCGTTGTGCCTGACCTCCCTGTTCTGAGAAGACGGGGCTCAACGCCCGAGCCTGAGGGCCCGTTTGCAGTTCACATGCCCTCACTTCTTTTTGGGGTCCGCTTCTACCCGAGGACCGGTCCAATGCCCCCCACTTCTTTTTGGGGTCCACTTCCACCCGAGGACCGGTCCTTCGTTTTTCCAAAAGTCCCGGTTCTACCACAGTTAGCTGTAGGTAGTCCGCAATTTTGGCAAGGACCGGTCCCCCAATTTTTTTTGCCCTCTAAGAACCCACTTTGCGCCCTGGTCACCCGCCGCAAAAAATGCGACACCTTGACACAGACGCGGAAGTCCACTATACCGCAGCCTAAGGGCTGCGAAATAATTGTCTACCACGTGGGCGCAGAGAACGCAGCCCTACGGTAGCCAAATCAATGAGACTAAGAGCTAACACAAGAGAGAGAGAGAGAGAGAGAGAGAGAGAGAGAGAGAGAGAGAGA